TTCCTAGGGGACCAGGTAAAACTTGTCCTCAGACACCCCAAATCCTCCTGAGCGTCGCTCTCCTTGCTGAGCCCTAACGATATAATTTTTGAAACTCAGCTGGACAGTGGTGGTGTACGCCTGTAGTCTCAGCTCTTGGGAGGCAGAGGCAGCGGATCTCTGTGAGTTTTAAGCCTGGTCTACAGAGCCAGTCCAGCTCAGCCAAGGCTATACAGAGAAACCCTATCTCCTTAAACATGGTTTTTAAACATATTTTCAGGTATCTGAGTATCTCCTGATGTCTACATGTCTATGTATATATGCTTCGTGGTGTCTGATGCTTGCAGAGGTCAGAAGAGGGTCAGGCCCCTGGCCCTGGAGTTACAGTCGGCTGTCACCTGGGTGCTGGGAACTGAACCTGGGCCTTCTGCAAGAACACCAGTGCTTGACTGAGGAGCCCTCTCCAGCTCATGCTCCTTCTACGCCCTCCAGGCACTGAGGGGCCCAACCTCTTAAACTCTGGGTCGTCCCACCTTTACTCCCACACCCCAACATGCCAGGCTCTCTCGACACACACAACATTGCTCTCCATCCTAACGGCCACTCCTGCACTCTCCTGCAGTCCCTCCGGCACCTGCAACCCCCCTTCCCTGCCTTAGTGTCCTCCAACTTCCCTACAGGCCAGTGTGACACTGCTCCTGTACCAGGGCCCAACTCCTCACCTAGAAAGCCACCTCCTCTGCCCAGGCTGGGTCTGAGACTCTTAAAAACCTCCCCAGGAGGAGATGTGGCCGTGTTCTCGCATGTTCGCAGCGGTCTATTCTATCGTGTGCTGCAGTCTCCCGCAGTCCTCCCTCCCTGGTTCAGCTGACTCAGAGGTTAAGGGCACTGGCTGCTCTTCCAGAGGTCCTGAGTTCAATTCCCAGCAACCACATGCTGGCTCCCAACCATCTATACTGGGATCTGGTGCCCTCTTTCAGCCTGCGGACACACATGCAGACAGAACACTGTCTCCATAATAAATAAATCATCTGCTTACTGAGCCCTGGCTGCAGCCTGCCTCAGTGCGTCACAACACCACTGCAGAGCATTCTCTAAGGAGCGGGCTCAGGTCAGCAGAAGGCCAACCCTAGGAACTCACGACACTCTGGGACTAGAAGAAACAGCTTATACCCCCAAACACAGCCCACAATAAAGGGATGAATGTGCACCCAAGCATCCGGATATGAGCCCACAGAACTGATGCTGAGGGCAGACTCCTCCTACCGTCTGCACTGCAGCAACATTCTCTCCTGCAGCCTTTTCTGCCTCTGGCACTCCCCCTCACATGTGGCTCGGCATGGCCTTGAATTGCCTATGCGGCCAAGGCTAGCCTCGAACTCAATCCTGCTGCCTCAGCCTCCCTGGTACAGGGATTACAAGGCGTGTGCCACCATGCCTGGCTCTGGTAAGTTCTTTCACCACCCATTTCCTGACAGGCAGGGCTTGTGAAACCTGTGAGGGGTCACAGAAGACAAGTGTGCTGAGGCGACAGATCTGTGGGTGTGCAGGCAGAGTGGAACGTAAACTGGGCCAGTCATTTTAAGACAGGGCCGCCTCTCACCTGAACTGGGCCCAGGGCGGAAGTGCAGCGTGTCACAGAACACAGCACGCAGCTGAAGGCCTGGGCCCCAGCTCCTGGGGGGGCAGTCAGGAATAGTGCAGGCCAAGAGCAGCCGAGGCTGCACAAGTGGCCACTGTCCACTAAAGGAGAAACAGGGTCAGGGAGAGGCTCGGCGTGCTCTCTGGCATGTATGAGGCCCTGGGTTAAAGTCCCAACACTAGGAAAAAAGCAAACTAAAGGAGGCTCGCCCACACCTGTAGCCCTGAACTCAGGCAGGGGACCAGGTGGTGGATCGGCAGACAGGTAGATACATCTTTGTAAGTTCATAGCCAGCCTGACCTATAAATCGAGTTCCAGAACAGCCAAAGCTACAAAGACCCTGTCTCAGAAAACTAACCCCCAAACCCGATCAGAACAACAAACAAACCTTAAACTCTAAACATCAAAAGGATGGCTTGTTTGATGACACCCCCTGCAAAAAAACCCAGCAATCGGACTAGAGTTAGTGAGTGTCCGCTCAGCCCACTCTACTCCGCAGGCCCCACTATGGCCCTCCCACTGCTGAGACTGCTTTCTCACTGTGCTCTAAAGCAAGTCCCCAGGGGCCGCGTGCCATGGTGCAGCCCGTAAGCCCAGGGCTGGAGAGGCAGAGGCAGGTGGATCTCTGCGAGCTGGAGGCCAGCCTGGTCTACAAATTGGGTCTAGGACAGCCAGGGCTACACAGAGAAACCCTGCCTCAGAAAAGCAAGTAAGGAAACAAACAAAAAGACACCAAAAGCATAAAAGGTGGGACCTCTTCTGGCCTCCTATGGAGTGTGATAAACCTGCTTAGTGACTTCAGAGAACTTGGGCATCTCTATCCTAACGTGGGCATCCTGACGACCCACTTGATCTGCTTGCTGGCAGCTGCAGGAGATGGAGACTCCAGGGTTAGAGCGCCGCCTGGTGGCAGATGGCAGGGAAGCCCCTGAGAGGAGGCCAGGGTTTGGGAGCTCAAGTATAGATGGAGAGTTGTTGCAACCTGTCTGCTGTGACATTTCAGACAAGTTCCTGGGCCTCCTAGAAAGGCCTCACTCTGCCACTGTGTTAAATGCTCCACATACTTCTTAGAATTCAGGGCAAGGATGGTGGCACCTACTCCACCACCAGGAGCTTTAACTGAACCACATAAAAACAGCACACTTAGCAAAACTGCAGCTAATCTGCAGCTCACGTGCTCACCACAACTTCCATTTCAGACCAAACAGGCTCCAGAAAACCCATGAGCAGCTGCCCCAGGTACTGCCTTTGTTACCAGCCAGGAGCAGCCTCTTGAACTGTAGCAAGCGACTCGACTACGGGTATAGCGTCTCCCAAGAGCATACCTAAGCATTGTAAGGGCTAAAACTGCCTTGGGGAAAGTGACCGCTGGTCACCTGGGCCAGCTGTAAGTTCTTAGAGTAAACCGGTCTCTGGGCCAGCCATAAATTCCTATACAAGGTGACCCCGCACCAAAGGTCCACTGCCCACTTACCTGCCCTCCTTTCACTTAAACAGCCTTGCTTGCTGCAGAAGTCCAGAGCTGCCTTTCTGCATTTGGCACAATGCATTTTTTTTGCCCTTAAAAACTCAAATTAGAGGGTGAGGCTGCTTCCAGCTTGCTACTCAGCTTGGAACAGTCCCAGTAGTGGTAAACAAAGATTAAATAAAAATTCCACAGGACTTATTCAGGAGTCTTGGGCAGTTTTTCTCTTCAGGTACCCCATAATAAAATCAGCTGGCCAGCTGCAGCCTGTCTTGTTTTTCAAGACAGGGTTTCTCTGTGTAGCCTTGGCTGTGCTGAACTCGCTTTGTAGACCAGGCTGGCCTCGAACTCACAGAAATCTGCCTGCCTCTGCTTCCCACAGTGCTGGGATCACAGGCATGCGCCACCATGCCTGGCTCAAAATTCCTCTCTTTAAGCTAAAAAAATAAAAATAAAAAAAATAATAGCTAAGCAGAATTAAAGAAAAGGGTCTTTTTCTCTTTTTGACCAAGGAGAGGCCAAGCTGGAGATGAGAAAAGGCGCCAGCAGGGTTGGTGACACCATGTAGAAGGCGGTTACTGGGTCAACCCCCCCCCCCCGGGTCCTAGTCAGCAAGCTGCTGTCACTGCAGAAGCAACCCCTTCTACATTGTTCTCAGACCTGCAGACTTGGCAGAGCTCTTCCAGCAGTCTGCCACCTAGGTCGCGTGGCTGGGGCACAGGGCAGGCAAGCACGGAGCTTCTGGCAGAAACCACCGAGGGTTATGCTCAGCAGGATGAAGCTGCTAGTCACACAGCCTCCCCTAGGTCAGATCTGCTTGATGGTCCTCTTGAGAATCCTAGGCCTTGCCCAGACTGGCCTAGAGGTGAGCCTCATGCTCCCGAGTGCTGGGGTTACTACAGTGCACTGTGAATTCCTGTCTTTCTAGGTGACTAGGTTGTTTCTGGGCTGGTGAGCTGCCAGTAGCACAAATGGAGAACAGAAGGAGGCTGTTTGCACCATGAAGCCATTACCATCCAGCTGAGATGTTTTGTTGTTATTCTCAGGGTTTCTCTGTGTAGCTCTGGTTGGCCTGGAACTCGCTATGTAGACCAGTCTGGTATTGAGCTCACAGAGAGAGGGCTGACTGTCTCTGCCTCCAGAGTGCTGGTTAAGGTCTGCACCACCGGCTTTAAATTAGAATTTTGGTAGAGACTGAGGGAAACGGGTCCCCAGGGCGTTTCTGCTTTTCAGGAGTATATGTCAAGGAACAGGAATCTGTTCACAACACAGGAACAGCACACCTCCATGCAAGGTCTCTCTCCCGTCCCAGCGGATCACGTGACAGGCAGCATGAACACTTTGTAAGACCTTTGTGGCCTGTTACAAAGGTTGCTATTGTTTTAATTCTGCAGAGAGACACAAACCAAGCTGGGGAGTAATGGGACAAGCTTTTTGCAGCTGACCCCAAGCCATCAACTGCAAGGCTGTGCTACAGGCAAACAGCCATCAAAGAAACAAAGTAATCACTAATCCTCAAAGTTAGGAAAGAAAAGACTGCAGGCCGGGAGGGTGGGAGTGGTGACCCGCCCGTGCAGTCTCTGCAGTTAGGACGCTGCCGCCAACCCGAGATACACAGCCAAAAGCCCGACTCAAACAACCAAAAAGTCACACCACGCTAAACCAAACACACACACACACACACACACACACACACACACACACACACACACACCCCTGCTGTTTGGTTGAGGCTGGGATAAGCTTATCTGTTACCGTAGTTTGAGAAGGGGCTCTCTACCCACACAGAGATCCTCCTGCCTCTGTGTGCTGGGGTCAACGGCCTGAGCCATCACACCAGGCCTTTATTCCCCAACCATTAGCTGTTCGGATCGGTTCCGCTTCTCACGACCAGTTTCCCACGGACCCACTCACCGTCGGGGCCCTGGCGGGCAGCAGCGTGCAGCGCCGTGTCACCGTGGCGGTCCTGGTGGGCAGGGTCGGCCCCGAGACGCAGCAGCAGGCACAGGGCAGGGGCATCGTGGCGGGCACAGGCCCGGTGGAGAGGTGGGGGCTGGCCAGCGTCCACGTCCAGGCCGGGATGTCGTTGGAGGAGAGCCTGGGCGCGCACCAGCCGTCCTGCAGACAAGTAGCGCCGGAAGCGGCGCTCTCGGCGTTGCCGGCGGGAAGCAGAGGCCATGGAACTCTGGGACTGAGGACGAAGTGGGAAACGGCAGCGGTGAGGACCATCTCAGCCTCGCCCCGGGCTTCTCCCTTCCCCTCCCACCTTCCCCCTCGCACGTCCAGAGGAGCGAGACCTCGTCTAAACTCTCATCCCTTACCAGGCGACAGGCTTGAGGGGGGAAGAAAATGGAGTTGGGGGCTGGGGGCCACGGACTTAATTTTTGATGTAATTTTTGAGAAAATGATACGTAGTTGTTTTAAGGCTCCGGAGCCCAAGAAAAAAGTTAATTCTTAACTTTGGGGTGGGGTGACGGCAACCGAGTAGGGCCAGAATCTGAACTGCGAGGAAGCCCCGAGTTCGAAGGATGAGCTAGAAATCGAATATAATGTACCCGACAGACAGACGTGGAGGCTCCGTCCTCTGGGGCCCGGGGGGAGGGGTTACTCATCAGACCCGCTCCCCGCCCCCCAAGGACCCTCAGCGGCGGGCCGGAGGCCTGGGTGGGAGACGCTCGCAGGAGGGAGGCGGGGAGGAGGCGCTCCGGGCTGGAGGAAATGACGCACGAACACGCGCAAGTCTCGGGCGGAAGGGACCGGGAGCCCCAGCCCGGAAATCGTGATTAGGCCTCCGGAGGGGAAACGCGACAAACTGCGACAAAGGGGCCCCCTGACCGGAAGACGGGGTTAGAGGCTACCGAGCAAAGCTAGGGCTGGGGGACAGGAGGGCTGATTTGAGGTTTATCCCGGACTCCTACCTCGGAGAGAACGGATATTTTAGTAACGGATAGAAAAATTAAAAGAGAAAAAAGTTACAGTGACAAGAGTTTAATCCCAGCGCTCGGGAGGCAGAGGCAGGCGGATCTCCCAGTTCGAGGCCAGCCTGGTCTACAGAGCGAGTTCCAGGACAACCGGGCAGTCTTGAAACACCAAAACAAACGAACAAAAACCAACCGAACACAAACCAAGAAGCTCACGATGAGTCTAAGTATATGGGCAAATCCAAAAAGAAAAACACACGAGAGGACCCTAAGAGAGCCAGCGCAGGGCAGGGCGGCAGAGAGGTTGCAACGTTCGGATTTGGGAAACGTGTTTAAGAAGATGGAGCCTGAAAGGGGGGCAGGGCGGAGGGAGGCGTGGAGAGACAGCGTTCGGAGTGCGGTGACGCGCAGCGAGCGCTTCTCCTTACCTCCCCACTCCATCCTCATCGTCTCTGCGTCTCCTCTGAGACCGCCACTCAACATCTCCCACCCAAACACCGCACCCTCCTCTTCCCCCGGCCGCATCCTCACGGACCTCGGGGGCACGGCGAGGCCCGGCACCTGCAGCAGATAGTCAGCAAGGCTGGTCTCTGCTGCCCTCGGGCGGCCGTGTGGGGCACTACCTCGGTGAGGCTCGCAGGGAGGACCAGTCACCGGCTGAGGATGAGCCACCCACCCGGCGCAGGAGGCTGAGTGAAAACGGCAGCACTAAGACCCAGTGGGAGTGGAGGATTGCAGCAACGGGCCGGAGGAGTAGGCGCTGGGGGGTGGGAGCCGGCTGCTACCTTGGTCGCCTTCGAAACAGCATCCTCACGAGTGGCAAAAATGGCTAGTCAGTCCCAGGGTATCCAGCAGCTCCTCCAAGCTGAGAAGCGGGCGGCGGAGAAGGTGGCCGATGCCAGGAAGAGTGAGCCTCCTCTTTCCTCTTAGGAGTCTGGAAGGAGAGTTGAGGGCTCGGGAGAGTGGACATTTGAGTCCTTGGGGAAACCCAGGGAGAATGGAGACAGAGCTGGGGACTGTCGAGCACTTGGTTGACTGACAGGAGGCCGAATAACTTTCCGGAGGCGCCGATCCCTGCTCACACACCTGGCTGTGGGTGGGGGTTCATATCTGTCCTTCTGCTTCCAGGGAAGGCCCGGCGACTGAAGCAGGCGAAGGAGGAGGCTCAAATGGAGGTGGAGCAGTACCGCAGGGAGCGGGAGCAGGAGTTCCAGAGCAAGCAGCAGGCGGTGCGTGCAGGGGGAGCAGGGTGGGCCCAGGTGCAAATTGGTGGGTGCCCCTGTAAGATTAGTTATGTAGGCGACCCAACAGGAAACTGGGGCATCTGAGGGCCTCACAGGCCCTGACAAGGACCACACAATGGCAAAGCTTTCACAGGATCTGGGGGGTCTGGAGTTTCAGGGGACACGTGAGGGCAGCCCTCACCGTCTGTGTGGAGTGTGGCAACGCTGATGGTGGGTGACCGAGTGTTATGGTGGTTGTGGTGAGAAGATGGGGATTTTACAGGTTTTGTTTTGTTTTTAGGGTGAGGTTGCATGTCTTAGAAGTAGGGGTTATGCTGACCTGTTTGGTTTCTGGACTTTTTTGTGGGGTGGGAATAGTTTTCTTCCCAGGCCTTATTTGGGGTCATTCCCTCTACATGTTGGGACCTTTCTCTGTCTGTTTTTCTTCTCCTGCTACCTCCCCAGGCCATGGGCTCTCAGGGGAACCTGTCTGCCGAGGTGGAGCAGGCCACGAGACGTCAGGTCCAGGGCATGCAGAGCTCCCAGCAGAGAAACCGGGAGCGCGTCCTGGCTCAGCTTCTCGGCATGGTCTGCGACGTCAGGCCCCAGGTCCACCCCAACTACCGGATTACTGTCTAGAACCACTGCTTAGGGACCCATCCCTGGAGCCTCACTCCTCTGCCTGCTCCTTCCACAGAGAAATGCAAGTCAAAATCATTTGTGTAGCATGCACAGAGCCTGGGCTTAATCCATAGTCCCCCCCACCCTAAAAAATCACTTTGCATAATAACCTCTTCCTGGGCGGTGACAGAATCCAATATGCTCCCGTGAGACTTACAAATAGCCTATTCAACCTCTGTGTTCCTGGACACCGACTGGAAACAAAGGATGGACAGCCCACGCCGCCCCCATCAGATCCCTCTGGGAGCATGTGTGTGGTAGCAGGGCTGTGGCAGGCACCCAGACTTCAGGGGTGGCGGATTTCTGCTCCTCTCCACCCCTGCTCCCTGCTGGCTGCAGTACTGGGACAGGAGGCCTCGGTGTCCCTGTAAGCTGCTTACCTGTCAGGTGGCTGCTGTGAGTCCTCCCGTGTAAGGATTTAGTGTGGTTCTAGCTGGTAGCAGTGGCAAGCCCGTGCTATGACCCCACCCTTGGCTGCCTGCCGAGTCCTAGCAATGCTTCCTTGACTTTCTTCCTGGCACTCTAGTTCTGCTGTCATTGTGACTCTGGTAATCCTCTCAAAGATTACCTTCTCTTGCTCGCAATGGCAGTCATGGCCCCTGGTGATGTCATTAGCCCCTCAGAGTCCCAAGTATATATTGAACCACTTAGCATCCGTCTTTGTCTCTTTGTTGGCTGGCCCCTTTTATCTGCCCGCCCCCCAGCTACTGCTTCCGAGAGCCAAGTGACGCTGCGACACCACATGCACAGATCCCGTTTTCTGCCCTCAGCACCTCACTTCCCTATGTAACTGCAGAGTGTCAATAAAGCAGGGATGGATACGTTCTCCTTCCGCCTCACCATCTCTCCTTCCGATGCACTCTCCTCAGAGTTCTGCATTTATGTATCCCCCAAACACTGGGAAACTTTTGGAGAAACCAAAGCTCATAGCACTGTGTTCTCTCTCAAGTGTGTGGTTCTTGGGACTGGAGGGCTGTGCGAGAGAACTGCAAGAGAAGAGTGGGCAAGTCAGAACAGCACTCTGTGAGCACCTGAGGGGTGTGTGTGTGTGAGAGCGAGTCACTGTGTATCTTACTACGTGTCCCTGACTGTGCTGGAATTTGCTATGGAAACCAGGCTAGCTTTGAACTCACAGAGCCCCACATTCCTCTGCCTCTTGGATACTGGAATTAAAAATATGCATCACCATGCCTGGCTTGACTTTATGTTGAGGTGTTGGCTCTCCTTACATGTGTGGTGATAAGGTTGTTGTGTCCCCAGAGCCTAAGATCAGATAGCACTTGGCACATGACTGGCAGCCGGCAAATACTGCGGAATAAAATGGTGCTCAGGAGTGGGAGCTGCTGGCCCATGACTGCCATTCCTGCCTCAGTTCTCTTCACTATGGAAGGCCAGACCAAAGAAGCCTGTGCCCAAGTCTA